CAAGCACGCGCGCTATGTTATGAAATAAATTTGATGGATAGGCTGAGAACAACACTTTAATTTGACTGAAATTCTGTAGCCAGTACCAATCCCTAAAGATAATAAAATATTAGGAGGATCAGGGGAAAAAATAATGCGGTGCCAAACATTTGCAAGATTTCATGTAATTATTTTAATTAATGAATATTAACTAATACTAGGAGATATAAGAATATTCAAAAGAGAAGAAAATTTGGTTGAAAAATTAGAATTATTGCTAACAATGACTGCCTATTGAGATTACAAAGAGCAGTTTAGTCTTTCGAAAATAATCTTCATTATAATTTGGGCCATGAACGCCGCCATATTGAATCTTGCTTAAGCAAGTTAAACATTTCATTAGACTTGCCCCTTATTCATATCGGTATTTAACTTTACAGTGTTAATATTGCCAAACGGTTTTATCTTTGTGAAAAATTTTTCACGGGCATGTTTTTTTTTTTTAATCTTTTTCACAGCATGCTTTACCATGAAGACATCCTTAGCCATTTCTCAATATTTAACTCTTCTGGTAAGTATGTGACACTTCTTGTGTTCTTGTTTAGTTTCAAGGAGTATATTTTCAGTGAACAATTCACGGCTACAGGCGTCAGCGCGCGTTTATCAGGATACATGACCAAGACGCGTGGACAGTGTGGAGATCTTTACCCGTTACACCCTTACATCAGAATGCATATTCTCCCTACTGTTCTCCATACATTTCCAAAGAGGCTGATTAGGAGAATTTGTTTAACAATCAAGAGCTGCTTTAGTTGGTGATCATCTCCTCTATTCTCATGACTTTCATGTTTGTTATAAGGGGGTGATATTGTAAGGAGAAATTAGGTGCTTGTCACTCTTGGGGGCTAAAGGTTTAAAAATGTGACATAGTTGTTACAGGCACAACCCACAACAACTCTCGCTCCTATAACACAGGAGTTATCCCAGAGGTAACAAACTCTGTAAGCCGACTCGAAGTACTGTGCCATGCGGGATCAACGTGCACAGTTTTCTCGCGGGTCAAGGCTTGTCTTCCGGGTAGCCAATCACAACAGGGCAATTGATTGATGTTACACACACAATTATCCCACGGGGTCAAGACTTAATTCACGTGTGGCCAATCAGAAGACATACAGCAATCGCTTGATGTTACCTACTTGCGGGCAAAGAAATTCTGTACATCCAATGATTATGAATAGGTCATCCCATATTTAAGGCACCTCTTACTTACTTAGTCTTTCAATACTCAAGACCCTTTAAGCAATAATTCTTTTCCGTTGCTCTTTATTTTTGTGTTGATTAGCCGGGAGAATTTCTTGCTTTGTCAAGATAAAACCCCTCCCGATTTGTAACCTTGTGATCCATGTGGACACCCTATGTTCCCCAATATGGGCATACATAGCCTAATCTAAGCGACTGGCCATTTTTTATCGCCGGGGTGGGGTGGAGGATTTTAAGAAGGATCATATGGTTTTCATGGGAATGAAGAGGGGATCTGTCGTCGCCATGAGGCCGGTATAAGACCAAGAAATTATCTTCCTTTACATTTTTATCAGAGTCAAGATTACTTTTGTCTTTCTAATTCTATATATTTTATTTTTCTTATGCCAAGGCGTGAATGCTTGCAATCCTGTCAACAAAGAATCTTAATGGCGTTCACCGTTTGCCGTACAACGGCAAAATAAAATTAGTCGTGAGGCGTAAGAATTGACAAATTTGAACATGTAAGTCGTAAAAGAAGCTAACCATAAAGAGTTTTTCGGTAGCCGTAACGGAAAGAAATTAAATTTAAAAGCCGGCATCCAATTGAGACCCCCCTGGCTTAACAGGCCACATCAACTTGGCGTTGTGTTTTGTTTTTCACATAAGATACATGTGATATCTGTTAGCATACTGCACAGAGAACTTATCTCGACGATATAGTAAGAAGTTAAAGAAGAAAGCTTATGGTCACTAATGTATTTGTAGATATTCTTCTACACAAAATGTCAGGCATACTGTCCAAATTTTAGGTTTATCATGTATGCCCTGAGGGTTTCCATATAAAAAAAATATTTATATGAGTGTTTGATATTTTTTACTTTTAAGACAAGTTGTCTCGTTAGCTACGATAAAACAAGGAAACCTTGTGAAAAAGAGATATTGATATATAGTTATCTGAACAAACGAAGCAAAATTACAGCGTCAAGGAATGATACTGTTTCATATTTATATTTGTATTATGCGTAATTTATTCAAATCCTAAAGGCGTACCATATCGGGCGATTTATTGGTGAAAGCAAGATTTAATTTAAACTTTAATTTAAAGCTGTTTTTCTCCCTAAATGTCTCGTCACTTATCGCCAATTTTTCCTAATTTTCGTCAGTTGGCAAAAAGAAAATTTAAAAAAGGACAAACCAAATTTTACACAATTTCAATGAAACAAATGGTTTAAAAATCTTTGTTTTATAAATCTCTGTTATTTTATAAAAGAGTAAACACTTTCTAACGCTTGTACAACAGTTTTTAATTGACTCGTTTTTCTTTCGATGTTCTTCAATAATTGAAATCCTTGCTACGTGTCTAGAAAACGCTTCCCAAACCAATCATACACTTAGCAGATACATCTATTTCGAGAAAGGTTGTCGGAATAAAGGACAAAAGTGCACTGGGCAAGAACGAAAGGTAATCTGGGTATGCGGTAATCACTGTATTTTAAAAAATGAAATCAAATTTCCTGAGGTCAAGGAACCGCGACCGGTACACTACCTACAGTACCCCTAGGGTTTGCGAAAACATCTTTCGAAACAATTGTTTATTCAATAACTTCGTAGTTCGTACAGCAAGTTACGAATCATCTTTTTTCCTTCCAATTTCATGGCCTGTGTTAAGCGCTTTGGCCATCAACTGAATTGGAAGTAACTTGAAACTTATGGCCTCAGACTTAGTAAGCAGGATTATTTTAATGTGCCTCTCTCTAGAACATTAGCTTTTGTGGTATAGCGAGTTCAATTAGCGGCTTTTGACTGCTATTAAAGTTGAAACTGAAGTAAGGTTTTTCATTCTTGTTCTTATCATTCGTTCTCTCGACCATGAAAGTCAGTTAAATTCGAATTCGTATAAGCTGGCCTTTTAGTTATCGATTTCTACCATTTCACAGCATCATGTCCCAGTTTGTACCCTTTTTAACCCATTACACCCTAACATCAATATTCACATTCTCTCTGCTGATCTCTTGTATTTCCTAAGGTGCTAATAGGAGAATCTGCTTAACAATCAAGAGCTTCTTTACTTAGTGTCTTAAAAGATTCGAACCTTTGCCTCCTAGGAGTGACTAGCACCTAACTTCTCCTAAAAATATCGCCGCTGAATCACACATTAATGTCGAGAGAATGTGGAAACGATCACTAAGAAAAGAAGCTCTTGATTGTTTAGCAGATTCATCTTAAAAGATGAAGAACTTTTCTCAATGCTGTAATTAGCGAAGGGGCAAGGGCAGTTATCACCCTCCCACACAAGAAATATTCAGACTTTTTATCAAATGCCATCTCTTTTGGGGTGCTCACAGATAGTTTATCCTTTACCAATATTTCCTTTACTTTTCGCAATCAGTCCGCTCATCTTAGTGAAAGTAGTAGAGAAAGCTCTAGGACAAGCGTCCGTTTCAAGCTCGTTATGATTCAAGATCCGTGTAATTGGCAAGTTCCTCATCCTTGCTGATAAAAAAGATATCGTGATAAACTAGCAAAACCTGGAGAGTACCAAACTCTAGTGGGGGCTCCAGAGCTAGAGGAGTACTCCCGGTGCTCGCTTTATTTCATCTGATACGTACTAATTTATTTTATCTGATAAGTACTAATTTATTATTGCGAGCTAATTCATTTTTTCAAGTCCAACATTTCCAATTTTGAATTCACGGTCCCATAGAAAAACGCGGGAATAACGTACGAGTGATGATGGTTAAGGGATGCGACAATCACTTAATATTTTAATTAGTTCTTCCACCACTTCTAAACAGTTGCATGTGGACTCTAGCCAGCTGTTTATCTCATTACTTAAAGTTGAAATTATGTGATATACTGGTATTAATAGTTTACGTGGCTTAAAAAAAGATATTGTTTATGTCAGTGTTTTTATTTAACAATACTACGTCAAAAACTGTTTTATTTCTCTTTATGTAATAGAATATGGAGATTGTTTAGATAACCTGTCATTTACTAGGGCAGATAATCATGTTTTAATACTCTCTTAGCAGACCTAGAGAAATAACCGATCATTCATCACTCATCATCTCTTTAAAACGACTTTAAAAATAAATGAAGATCGAAGAAGGTTTATAGGTCTGAATTTACAATATAAAAGTATTAAAATTCGTAAACAAAAATTTAGCAGACTGATGACTTTCTGGATCGACTATTTCTATTGACTGTGTTTAGTTGATTTTAACATCAAATTTCGGACAGCAAAAGGGGCTGGAGAGTTTTATGTAAAACGCCCTCCTACATTGCAAATCGTTTCCAAGAAACAAAACCATCTTAGTTCATAAGTTTTCATAAGTTTGTTTTAAGTCTTCTGACCGGCTGATATAGAATTATAGGGCGTCTAAGTAAATCGTCTTAGTGAAGCACTTTCTTTTATTAAGGAAGACAATATTGAATTTGAAATTTGCCAGCTGTCAAAAAAATTAACCATAACAGCTTTTCTTTACTGCTACCTGACACTTTAACCATATTTTATTTTGCTAAGAAGGTAAAACGAGATATTAAAGTTAAATAAAATATTGTTTGTCCACACCTGCATATCTTTTTTTTATGATCATCATTTTGCATTTTTGATACCGGTTAGGACATGGTTTGATGCCTATAGGACATAGTTAGTTTTTCGATTTCCGGTTCTTCATGCGTTCATTTGTTGAACATTTTCGGCGAGGGTTCTTTTCTAGCAGCCGTTAGAGAAAACGTCAACTTAAGAAGAATTAGTACGAGTATAACACAAGAGAGAGTTAATTCCATGGACAGCAAAGTACTTGCCTGATTGTCTGCTTTACTGCTTGTCTTACTTCACTAATCTTCCAATAGTAAAGAAATGGATTTAACGTCGAGTTAAAGTAAAGTAAGGTGGCTCCAATTCCTCTGCTGAAGACGAATTGTGGTGAAAGTGTTCTATTGTGAACATTCTCAATTTCAAGAAAGGTACCCGGTGTATAACAAGCAACTAATGCTAACTGTACCCACAGCGCACTATACACCGCCTTTCTGTATCGCGAAATGTTCAGTGAATTTGGTTGACTTGACTGTAGTTGAACATGAACTTGTACTTGTGCCTGATGATGAACAAGGGTGTGAAATATCTTTGTGTACGAGACCATTGAGATCAATAAACAAGATGGAACACCGATATATCCATACCATAAATTGATACGGTAATCTAAAATGTAGCATAAAGCAGCGACACCAGATAAAACCCAAATGGCAGCTAAAATAATATTTGTGCGCTTCAGAGTTACAGTTTGTTTGTATCTCAGCCCCAATAACAGCGCAAGAAGTCTGTCAATGCTTATGGCCGTTATTGTCCCCAAAGATACCCCACAAAATGCATAGATGGTTACATAGGTGGCGTTCCTTGAGTATCGACAAAGATTCCAGTTTTCGTTAACTATGGATATCCAATAAATAACATAGAGAGGCTGACTAACGAGACCAACCAACAGATCAGTTGTTGCCAGACAACGATACAAAAGTTTGGATGGTGGATTGAGGGAAGATTCTTTACGAAGGGCAACAAGGATTAGAAAATTCCCCAGAATTGCAGTGAGAGAGAGTATTCCATTTACCACTGCGAGATGAATCGACTGCTGTTGTAATCCGCCTGCCAAAGAGGGGGAACATAACAGTTCTTGATATGTTTCCATTTGTACTCCACCTTCTGTTAAATTATTTCTTGCCATCATACTTCTTTATTCCTTTTTCCTTTAGGTTTACCTGTGATTGCAACGAAAGATAATTTATCGTAACAGCAGCCGCCTAAAGATGATTATATGAAAACATATTGGGGAGGTCTTTCTGCAAACTATGCTTAAACATCGGCTGTTACGTCAACAAAGTTTCCTTTTGAGCTTTTTTATGTGCCTCGGGTATAAGTTGGCAAACGAGAAGGGCATAAGACATTTTTAATAGGTATTTTTTCATAGCAAATTCTCCCTTGTAACTTGGATTAACTTTTACTTTAAGGATTGGTAATTAAGCTTTAATATAACTTCTATGAGGTTAAGAAAAATCATTATCAACTTCAGCAATCTAGAAAATAAAGTACTCGTCAGAGATTTCAAACGGTTCAGAAAATAATAATTACTCGTGGCAATCTCCAAGTACATTTAAGTATTCAAAATTAATGTTTGGTCACAGATGCCAACATATATATTGTGACGATAGGTTTTTTTTTCATACCAACTGGACCTGTTATTTCTGCGGGGAACGCAACAATAACGGGGGAAAATAGCTCGGTAAAGACTACTTGCAGCAGGAACGGAAACTTGTCAGGGTTTCCTGGTACACAGAGACCTGCTTCAGTCAAACTTGCTACGGACGTCAAGAATTAAACAGCGTTTGTTTCAACAGTAACTTTATTTTAGTTCACGTCCACAACCGACATGCCCTCTTGCGTACTCAATTTCGTAATCGCCACACAATCATTAAATAAATATAATCACCACGCAGTCGTCTGTGTGATCCCTTTTTAAGGTACCTCCTTAAGTACTATCTAAGGCGTGGCTCTATTGTTCTCTAAATTTACAATATTTGAATAGTATCACAAACTGAGAAGCGGACAATGTCTCTTTGAAGTTATCGATACTAACGTAGAGAACAGAGACCGAACTTACAACTCCAAAATTAATAATATATATCTTAGCAAGTAAATGGGAGAAGTCATGGCAACATCCTTGAGAAGTAATTTACCAGATAAGGTCGCTACAAGGAATGTTGACTTTACAATGTCCACTAAGAATAAGATCACAAAAAGACTGATGTTCAGGTACAAGGCGGTGAAGACAAAGTGGTATGTACAAGTTAGTAGTTGAAAGAATTTACCGTTGGCTTTTGTCTTTTTTACAACGTTACAATAAAGAAACTCCAGTGAATTGAGAACGGCTACAATATTGAAAAAGTAATAAACATGCTCAAAGAAAACACATGGAAAAATCACTAAATTCTAATTTCGATCAAGGATGGCATCATAGGCAAGATTATACACGACTTGGAATTCACGAGGAAACTGAACATCCTTAAGGTATAAAGGCAGTGTATTCGTAATAATTCTTTTTAGTTGTAGGCTGGCTTTTCCAAGTCTGAACTGCGAAAAAGGGAACATCACCATAGATTTCTCTTGGAACTTTTTCTTTAGTGGCTGAAACGCGTGCATCAGTATCTATAATTCCATGAACAGACTTTTCTTCTAATTTACCTATAGTGGTTAGGTATCGTTTTCACTGAATTCTACTGAATTCCACTGAATTTCCAGGAATTCGCGTTGGCCCGTGGAAATGTGTGTTAATTTTGTCCAAGCGGAGCCATTTCACTATTTTCGTAATCTTGACCATCTACCACGGCTAAATGAGAGCTTCTTCGATTTTTAGAAGGTACTTCATTCCTTCGTTGTGGCTGACTATAACCGGAGCGTTGAGGATAATTTCCGCTTTATTGGCGTCGTGGGTAGTTTGGCTAGTACTGCTCAAAATTCTGATTTGGTTCGCGTGGAGACTTCTTGTTACAATTGTGCTGCACATGGCAATTCTCCCACACGAGTAACAAATAGGTCGTCCTTCTCGTGTGCACTGTCTTGGCGGTTCTTCGCGGTTATCTGATTTCGCCCGGTCAAGCCATTTATTCGAGCATCCCATGCATTGAATTTAATTCTTATAATCCGGTGTCCCTCGTCTGCCTTGTTCCGAATAAGCTACTAGGGGTACAACGGGCTGCTTTAGTGAGTCATCATTAGAACCTTGGGCCTTATTTAACAGTTCAGACAACTTGGAGTGGACTTGCAATGGCGTTGTCAGGACAAAATTCTTCACTAACTTTTGGTTCTGCCCCGCTTGGTTCTTCCTGGGAGTCGCTGCCCAAACTTGACTCGATGCAAAATCGTTTTTTGTGTTTCTATATTTGTTTTGGTTTTGTGTACTTTCTTCACTTCGCACCAGTTCCGTTGGTGAATTAATTAACTGGACAGGTCAACCACGAGCTCTTGACTTCTTTCTCCTGTGATGTTAGATTCTCGGAATCACGGATTTCTTCAACCTCCGGGGTGACGAAGGGTCGATCAGAAATAAGTGAACTTCGTGCGCTATCGTTTCCCTGCACATCAGGACTTGGCTGAACGATGGAAAGTTGAACAATGGACGGACTTTCGTTTGATATCGATGCTGATATGGCCTCTGTATTCGTTTATCTGCTTGGCTCTGACTGGAAAATGCGGTGAGAACTCGTGGTGGGTCTTTGGAAGAAATTGGTTCAATCTCTTAACTAGAATCGGTGTCGTGTGTCGTCGGCGGCGAGGAACTTTGATAAAATGCCAACTAAAAAAAAGTCATAATTTTCTTCTTCGAACAAAGAAGTTTGCAACTCCCTATTTACCTTGGTCGTCTTAATTCTGAAGGCGGGACTTCCTGCTTCGTAAAATTATATTGCGGCAAACGTTTCTTAAAAACTATCTTCACGGACCTCATAAATGGACAAAAGCAAATTCGAGGTACTCACGTTACTCGAGCGGTCCTTTCTTGCTGGCGCTTATTAGATCACGCCTCTTGCGTGGAACTGAATTTTGTCGTTCTCTGTGACATAGGTTTTTCGCACTAACTGGGGGAACGAAATGTCGTTAGTTTTTCTTTATCGAGCTCAAAACTTACCATCTCTCTTATTCTATTTACAAACATGACGCTATCGAAATTGCTGATCCTGGAAGCATGCAGGACGCGTGTTATATGAACTTCGTAATAGACCTCTGTCACCATAAAGTCTCTGTGGCTCAGTGGTAGAGCATCGGAGCGCGGAATCCGAAGGTCTGAGGCTCGATTCCTTATGTCCCACGCTTGTGACAAGACGAAAAACATCTTTTTCTGATATTTGAATAGTATCACAAAAGAAGCGGAAAATGTCTCTTTAAAGTTATTGATAGTAATCAAGAAATTGAACTTACAGCTTCAAAATTAAAAATATATATATTAACAAGGAAAAGTGAGAAATCAGTTATAACTAATGATTATTTATCCGATGCTGCTGTTACGTTTTGAACAAGTGACAACAAGCAAAAATTATCTTACGAAAATAACTAATTTACGGGCATAAGTTCAGCTGGCAACATCCCTCCCAGATAAGTCGCCGGAAAAGGTCACTACAAGGAATGTTTACTTAACAACGTCCACTAAGAATAAGATCACAAAAGGATCGATGTTCAGGTGCATAAAGGCAGCGAGAACAAAGCGATATCTACAAGTTAGTGGTTGAAATAATTTACTGTTGGCTTTTATCTTTTTTAAAACATCACAATAAAAGAAACTCGAATGAATTGAGAACGGCTAAAATATTGAAAAGTAATAAATATGCTCCAAACAATCACACAGAAAAATCACTAAATTTTCCGGTAACAATACCAAAATATTAATGTTCAACTTTGTAATTAACAAAACCTTACAGGTTTTTACTTTCCGTTTCGCGCCCGACTCAGCTAGAAACGAAAGCAGTGGGAGGAGCAGGATTAGGATTGCATCATCAAAACATTTCCTGTTTTTGTCACGTTACTAGTTCCCTCCAGTCGCTTTCTGCCCTATACCAAGGCATTCGTTTTCCAATTTTCCTTTTCAATTAGAAAAAAAGTAAGGCTATTGGACTTGCTTGGATTGAGACTTTCAATTACCTTTTAGAGACGCTCACTTGGAAGGTCCTCGCGCGACAAATACTACAATTTGCTTTCGGTAGGAGATCTTGGTTGTGCCTTGCATTTAAAACGTTCAATAAATGGAAACAATTATTTTGGTACTTCATTCTTGCTGTCTATCCTTGAACTTCACCGAATATGAACGGAAGTCTGTTGGTATACATTATTGTATGACACAGCTACATATTTGTGTGATGAGTTTAATTTAGGAATGACTTTTCATTGCGAGTCAAACGCAAATATCTGTAAGTTTTATCTTTTTACAATTAATGATAAAACAAAAAAATTATTTGCAGCCAAAGGAAGTAATAATGTGTTACATTAATTTCGGAAAAATATTGATTCTCACAAGAACTCAATAAGGATCCGAGTAGTAATAGTCTATTTTGTTTCTAGCGCTCCTCTACAAATGTCTCACAGGTAATAAAAGCATTTCAATTTTCATATACATTATGGACATTTTTCGGAAAACAAGACAAATTTAATCGTATAGTTGGCATTTTGACCGGTTCGCTTGGAAAAAAGGTGTCAACGTCAAACGCTGAAATTAATTAATTAAGTAATTTTCTGTCTACAAACAAATAACTTGAACAGTTCCCCTTTGCACCTGTTTGAAGCTCAATTTTATCATCCACTTTCATATTTCTAAGAAAGTAAAACGAAAGTGATATAAGCCTCAGTAGGCTAAAATGAAAAAGTCCTCGCCAAAGATCTTAATAGGTTTTTCAAAAGAAAAAAAAATTAACTCGTGAAAATGTCCTAATAGATAAAACTATACAGCTATACAAATTTTACAGATGCCAACATATATATTAATATATATCCCAAGTGATATTCAAGAATTTGTTAAGCCTCAAGTCCACAACAATACAAACGTTCGTTTAATATTGAATTCAAGATAAAAGAGCGTTTAGTTACTGTTACAGAAGAAGGAATATGTTTGTTGATTAAAATTGTGCCAGCGAACACCGAAAAATAAACATTTCACGCAGCAATCCCGCGCGTTAAAAAAAAAGAGTGCGAAGAACAATAAACACAGTAGCCTCCATTTGGGGTGAAATTATCCTTATGCATTATCTGTTTCTCGAGGCTCAAAGTTTTCCTCGAGGGTCGCTCTCGAAAAACTGTTCGCTCCTCGGAACTGATTGTGTCTGCATACAAATATCCGTATGTATTTTAGCGCCCAATGAAGGTCATGCTTTGTTTATTCACCTCCACTTTGGTGATAGTTGTTGAATATTTCAGCTATGAAGGAGAACGTGTGTCAGGAGGAAGATACTACGCTACAAAACCCTTTTGTGCTTTTATCAGAGGCAAATGTTGGCCTTTTGGACTCACTGATATCAATTTATTTCAGATGTCTAATTGATAAAAAAATTTCAAGTTCTCTTTTGTTGCGGGTGATGTGTGAAATTAAAAATTCTCTTTTGATGAGGACAGTTGTATATTGCAATATTAAAGTATAAGAAAGACAATATATTCTCTACGGCTAGGTGTATCCAATGGAAAGTTAAGATATAGCAAAACTCGTTCAACATCAGCACAGTGTTTTAACAGCGTTTTTATTAAGCCTTGCGCTCTGTTGTAAGAAATACCTGCTTGAAAGTTTCTTATGCAAAAAACTTGTACATTTTTCTTGCCAGGAGTTCATGGTTGTGTCTTGCATTTATATTACTAGATAGACAAAAAACGTTACCTCGCAAATGCTAATTCTGTGGCATTTCATTCTTGCTGTTTTCCTCAAATGTCACAGAATATAGCCCGAAGTCTGTTATTAAACATTAATGCGCGGCTAAATTACGTGTTTGTCTTCACCAGTAAAGTTTAATTTAGAGATGAATTTGCATTAAGAGTGAAACATGAAAACACCTGTGAGTTTTATTATTCCACAATAATCGATAAAACCCTGTTTTTTGGCAGCTAAGGGAATATGATGATATGTCACATCAGTAAATTTTGGAAAAACTATCGATCTCCAAGAGAACTCAACAAGAATCAGTGATGGCCAATTCTCATTTGTTAATGGCTCGTATGGCAAAAGGGCAAAGACCGTAAAAAAAATTAAACATTTTTAATGTTACTGAAAAAAAAGCACGACGTAACAATATCAGTATCTGGGCAACTGCCCACATACCCCTCCCCTAACCCAGCATTAACCTTAACATGGTGTCAATTGACTGTTGTTGAGTTAGGGGAGGGGTAGGTGGGCAGTTTCCTAGATAATGATATTGTTAAGTCGTGCTTTTTTTTCAGTAACATTAAAAATGTTGAATTTGTTTTACCGTCTATAAACTAATAACTTCAATGGCTCTTCTTTAATATTCTTTAAAGTTCATTTTTATCCAGCACTTTCATATTACTAAGAAAGCAAACCAGGGAAGTAATATCGAACTATTAACGTCGTGTTTGTTTCTATACTGTGCGTGCTTATATCACGAGTCGTGATATTCATATTAAGCACTGTCGCATGCAACAAAGTTTCCTCAAGATATGGTTGCTGTTTGTTTCGACTCTTCACCGTTTTATTTACTCAATTGGAAAAAAAAAGAATTTTATCAAAAGCTCGAGCAACAATGTGGTAAACTTTTATATTTATTATTATATTACAAACAAGCGTTGTCTTGTCAGCTTTGAAACAACAAATAAAATAATGCCTCAATCGAGGCAGATCTAACTCCATGGACGGCAAAGCGTTTGTCTGATTGTCTGCTCCACTGCTTGTCTCACTTCATTAATTTTCCAGCAATAAAGAAACGGATTTAACGTCGAGTTGGAGTAAACTAAAGTTGCTGCTATTCCTCTGATGACACTTAAATGTGATGAAAATGTTATTCTATTACCCTCCACAATCACGATTTCAACTATAATATATGGTGTATAACAAACAACTAATGCTAACTGCACCCACAATGCACTGTACACCGCTTTTCTGTATCGCGAAATGTTCAGTGAATTTGGTTGACTTGACTGTAGTCGAACTTGAACTTGATGATGAATGAGGGTGCGAAATATCTTTGTGTACGAGACCACTGAGATCAGTAAACAAGATGGAATATAGATATACCCAAACCATAAGGTCATACGGTAATCTAAAATGTAGCATAAAGCAGCCACACCCGATAAAACCGAAACGGCAGCTAAGATAATACTTGTGCGCTTTAAAGTTACAGTTTGTTTGTATCTCAGCCCCAACAAAAGGGCAAGAAGTCTGTCCACGCTTATAGACATCATTGTAAACAAAGATAAGCAACAAAATGCATAGCTTGTTACTAAGGCAGCGTCCCTTATATATCGACAAAGATTCCAGTGTTCATTAGCTATGGATATCCAATAAATAGCAAAGAGAGGCTGGCTAATAAGACCAATCAAAAGATCAGTTGTTGCCAGACAACGATACAGAAGTTTGGAGGGCGGATGGAGGTAACATTCTTTGCGAAGGGAAACCAGGATTAGCGAATTCCCGAGAATTGCAGTAAGAGAGAGGATCACATTTACCACTGCGAGATGATTTGATTGTTTTGGTAATCCACCTACCGAAGACGGGGAACATAACAGTTCTTGAAAGGTTTCCATTTGTACTCCACCTCCTGATAAATTGTTTCTGGCCATCATACTTCTGTGATCCTTTTTCTTTTAGGGTTACCTGTGGCTGCAACGAGAGATAATATATCTTAACAGCAGCCGCTCGGGAATGATCATATAAAAACTTCTCGGGAAGATCGTACTTTAAACTATGCAGAAACAGTGGCTTTTAAGTCAAAAAGTTTTCTATTTGAACTTTTGTTTGTGCCTCGGGTATAAATTGGCAAAATGAGAAAAGCATAAGACACTTGTAATAGGCATTTTTTCGTAGCACGGCAAATTATTCTCTGTAACTTGGACAAAATTTCATTACCAGGATTAGTATCTATGCTTAAACATAATTTCTATGAATTTGCAATTCTAGCAATCTAAAAAAAAATAAAACAGTCCTTGTTAGAGAACTCAATCGGTTAAGAAAATAATAATTACTCGCGGCAATCTCCAAATACATTAAAATATACAAAATTAATGTTTGGTCACAGATACTAACATATATATATATAAAGGTATTCATGTTGAACGTTGTAATTAACAAAGCCTTCCAGCTTTTTGCTTTCCGTTTCGCGCCCGACTCAGCCAGAAGCGGAAACAGTGACAGGAGTTAGAAAGGAGCAGCCTTTTTAACGTTATTTATTTTCTACGTTTGGTCTCTTACTTTATTCCGAGAGATTCGTCACCATATTTTCTCCTTTTTATCAGAAACAAAGTGAGCCTTTTGGACTCTGTGATCCTCTTCTTTTTAAGTTAAAAATGAAATGACGTGTTAAGGTAACAATTATGTGTACGGCAGGTGATTGGATACTTCTTGTCGCGATTCACTTGAGCGATCAACGATCCTCTTTTGATAAGGACAGTTATACTCCAATACTTAGGCATGATAAAAACAAGTTATAAAACTGCGGTCTGAAATTAAGCGACAGATATTCAAGGACTGGTTTAATTCGTTAAACAACTTATTACATTCCAAATTCTTAAAGAGCATTAGGATACAGACTGTTATTTACCTTTGAAAGACGCTCACTTTAAAGGTCCTCGCTTAACAAATACTACAATTTGTTTTTGGCAGGAGGTCGTAGTTGTGCCTTGCATTTAAAACGTTCAATAAATGGAAACAATTATTTTGTTGTTTTTATTAATGCTGTCTATCCTTAAATGTCACAGAATATGAACGGAGGGCTATTAGTAAACATTGGTGTGCGACACAACTACTTATTTGAGTAATTAGTTTAATTTGGGAATTAGTTTTCATTACGAGTTAAACGCAAATGCCTCTGAGTTTTATCCTTTTACAATTAATCATAAAACTCTGTTGTTAAACAAAACTTTGTTAACAGCCAAAGGAAATAATAATGTATTACATTAATTTTGGAAACTATTGATTTTCAAGGGAACTCAATAAGATTCGATAATAGTCAATTTTCAATTATGCACTCCCCTACAAATCTCTTACAGGTGATAAAAGCATTTGAATTTTCATATGCATTATGACCATTTTTCGAATAACAAAAAAATTTAATTGTCGGGTTGGCATTTTGACCGGCTTATATGGCGAAAGTGTGTCAACGTCAAACGCTTTATTTGAGTGAGATTAAAACATTGAAATTAATTTTCTGTCTGTAAACAAATAACGCTAACAGTTCTCTTTGCAATTCTTTGGAGCTCAATTTTATCCAGTTTCATATTTCTAAGATGTAAAACGAGGGAGTGATATCAGCCTCAACAGGTTAAGATGAAAAAGTCTTCGCCAAGGAGCTTCATCAGTTTTTGAAAAGACAAAAAAAATTAACTCGTGTCAATTTGCAAATTCATAAAGCCATACAAATATACAGATGTCAACATACATCAAAATTAGTATAAACCACTTAAATAAATAGTGCTTTTCGTGTGCACGTAGTGGCTTGAAGTGATTAGCAAGTATTATTCACCTCAGAGCAACCGAAGAGACAATATCGCCAGTCAACAGTTTACCTCCGCCAGAGCGATTGGAGGAATTGTAGGTTGTGTGTGAGTTTATATGCAGAATGGAAAGTGGAGCTACGCTATTGGTGGGAATATGGTCACGAGAAACAAGAATAAATTAGTTGAACGGAAAGCGTCCGTTGATACCGGTGAGATTAAGGGTGCCGATTTGAGAGATAAATTTTTGTTCTAGTGTTTTGCGGTTTTCCGGACTGCCTAGATGTAGGGAAAGGCTGCAAACTGCAATATGCTGCTTAGAATGAATAGGGAGCCTGGGATTAAAGTGTCTTTTTTCACCCTCACTTTCCTCTTTTCGAGTTTTAGTTTCTCAATTTCCAATTCCATCTGCAAACAAAACGAGATGTATTTAAATTAAAAGGACAACATCATTTGTTAACAGACAATTATTTTAAGTGTTTAAGTGCTGCTCCCGCTAAAAGCGGTCCTCTCGACTTCCCGTCGGAAAAAAAGCTTTCTTTTATTTTTTGGCCATTAAAAGGGTTTAGGACACATGTTTCAAAAATATTTTAGTTCTTCTCCAATTCTCTTCTTTTGCGTCGCAACAAGCCAGAAAATGATTTTTGGCCAGACCACCCCTGTGAACAGCGATCGAAAGTGTCAATTTCAAAGATTTTGTCTAGCGCGCAGCGACTGCAACAATGTAGCTCACGGAATTCTATCTTGCTACAAGTTACAAGGTGTATTCAGTTAGTTAACAGATAAAATATGGAAACTTCAGCTCAATATATATATTTTTCATACTAGCGTGATCAGAGGACCCTTCTCTTCGACCTGAATTTGCATATCAAAAATTCACTACTTTGAACGAAAGAATTCTCAAAATGCAGGCGTTAATCGGGCTGAAAAAGCATATCAGTGCATAGTTCATACACCAATGAGGTCACGGATTGCCTCAAACCCGCGGGCATATCTCTAGCTTCCATCCACTAACTTCTTAAAAACAACGCAAATCCACGTGTTTGCTCAATTGTGCTCGTGTCAAAGATCATTTGCATGATTCTTGGAATAGACCAAGATCTCCTTTTAACGGTTCAAAATTAGTTCGTATATCTTCTACGTTGAGGATTTTAGGTTTTCACAGCAACTGTGTGGAGATTAGATGCCGAGTTGTCCTAAAACGTTGCGTAAACGCTAGCGCGCTTGCGTGACTTACAATGTAGACAAAGGTGATCGGAAGGCGCCTTCTCGATAATTTACGTTGAAATATCAGGTCATGAACTTTGCACAGTGTGGAGAAGATCAAAATTAAAGAATAAAATTTGGCACTCTGGTCATAACAGACATATCGCGCTGCTTAAAAGGACACAAAAACAAGTTAAAATAGGTTGCAGTGTATATTTAGCAGTGTATATTTACAAAACAACACGCATACACTCTGAAACAATTCTTGCAGTTTCTCCCGAGATTTAGTATACGGAACCCGATGAACTAACCCTCCTTTCCACAGATTTGTTTCCATCACTTATGATGTTACGCTCTCGTGGACCACAACGGTTTTGAGCGACAAACTCGACATTTCCCTGCGACCATCAAAATCAACTGGACAAACCCAGCTTGATATATTGCTTGACGTGATTGTGCAAATTTTTCCCCTTGCCATATGGCCTGTTTCGCGGGTTCTACAAATTGAAACCAAAATTAGTTAGTGTAACGAATTAGAATGGAAAGTTATTGAAACGGACTGAATTACATTTTAATGAGAATTTTAACTTTTAAAAAGGTTTACTTGATTCATGGGAAGCAAAGATTGGAGTGGCGTTGGGTATTTAAGCCCTGATTTCTCTCCTGGAATGCCGGGACGACGTATCGAGTTATTTGAAGTACTATTAGCTATCCGGCGAAATCCTTGATTACAAGTTAATTTTGCTTCGTTCCGGTCAGTTTGACCACGATATGGAAAAAATATAACAGTAATTGGTATGTTCTAAACATCTGAACACTTTAAGAAACATTAAAAATGCGGTGGAGGTACTTGTTAACAGCCACAGCAAAAGGGAAAATGTGAGGTAGTAAAAGAAAGCCAGACTGACTGGAGATGTTTTTGAAGTTTTCGGAATTTTAGTTGTAGTCGGATCACATGGGTAATATATTTGCAATTTCTCGAGAGTGAAGGCTATTATTTAACTAAGTTTCGCGACAAAAGAAAGTTAATGCCTTCCAGGTAAATTTTAGTGAGTTCAATAACAAGCTGGTGGCAGCTTTTACGACAAATGGCGTTGAAAACTCAGTCTCCGTTCACTGCCTCACATTCTCCTTTTTGCTCTTGATGCTAAAAAAAATACTTTTACTACATTTCCAGTGTCCTCTCAGGTGTTCTGGTGTTTAGAACATACCGTCCACTAACTGTTTTATTTTTTTCCAAATCAGGGCTGAAATACCCAAAGCCACTCCAATCTTTGCTTTCCGTGAATCAAGTAAACATTTAAGCGATAAAATTCTTATTAAAATGTAAAATTCTTCAGTCCATTTGAATAACTTTCGATTTTAATTCGTTACATTAACTAATTTTGGTTCCAACTCGTAGAACCTGCGAAATAGGTCGTATGACAAAGAGAAAAGTTTGCACAACACGTCACGCAATACATCAAGCTGGGTTTATCCAGTAGATTTTGATCGTCGCAGGGAAATGTCTAGTTTGTCGCTCAAAACCGTTGTGGTCCATAAGAGCGTAACATCATTAATGACAGAAAAAAATTTTCATAAAGGAGGGTTAGTTCATCAGGTTCCGTTTACTAAATCTCGGGAGAAACTGCAAGAATTGTTTCGGAGTGTATGCGTGTTGTTTTGTAAATATCAACACTGCAACCTATTTTAACTTGTTTTTGTGTCCTAATAAGCAGCGCGATATGTCTGTTATGACCAGAGTGCCAAATTTTATTCTTTAATTTCAGGGGTCCAAATTTTGTCTGTGAACTAACTGAATACACCTTGTAACATGTAGCAAGATAGAATTCCGTGAGCTACGTTGTTGCAGTCGCTGGGCGCTGGACAAAATCTTTGAAATTGACACTTTCGATCGCTGTTCACAGTGGTGGTCTGGCCAAAAATCATTTTTGACTTCTGGCGACGCAAAAAAAGAGAATTGGAGAACAACTAAACTATTTTTGAAACATGTGTCCTAAACCATTTTCATGGGCAAAAAATAAAAGAAACTTTTTTCCGACGGGAAGTCGAGAGGACCGCTCTTAGCGAGAGTGGCACTTAAGTAAGTAAACGAAAAGTATTTTCGACTTCAATTAGTTTTAGTCCCTTGTGGTTTGACTTCTTTGCTTTCCAAAAAAAACAATGAGGTGCTCATTTTTCATGCAAACCCAATACAACCCTGACGTTTTCATCTCTCTTGTTGAGAATGTGCAAAAGCAAACTTTTCGTACATGGTGAAGAAATGCTCAAATAAGAACAGCTGGGGCTAGAGTGTTTGTAACCTCCACACGAGTAAGAGTAAGCTTACACAATTTTTTAAAAAGAGATGTACTTACCGTTATCATTGATTTTCAGTCTTGATCAACTGTTAGTCCGTGAAAGCGTGTTTGATTGTAAAAGCGTCCTTAGCAAGGATGGTAGAGCACTGCACCGGCATCGCAGAGGTCATGGGTTCAAATCCCGTAAAGGCCCTAATTTTTTTCAGGCCTTCTTTTTACTACTGCTTAAGTAGTTTTCATAGCTGCGAAGATCGCTTTCATATTCACGTCTTTATCCACAGTTCAAATATATGACTTTCATATATTCACAGCCGTTTATTCACCACTTCACGGGTTTATTTGGAACCAACACAGTGACAACTCCCAGTTGGCTTGTTAGCTCAGTTGGTAGAGCACTAGTGTTCATAGCTGCGAAGATCGCTTTCATATTCAAATATAAATGTAGTGTTGCCGTGGGGGATACCAATCAGTGCCTATCGTATCGTTTTGTCAATAACATATAATAATTTTTTTCTCAAAGGGCACGGTAACGAGTCCTGTAATCTGATTGGTTCTTAGCGCGGTCCGTATTTTCCTATCTCTGCCCACGGGCAGCTGTAACGCTTTCATGAATTACCGAGTACATCCCTACCTTCGTTGCCATTTTTAATTAATATATCTTGTTTTTCCGGTTGGGCAGTATTTTTAAGCAAAGACGTCGATCACTACCTAAAGCCGATAAATAACTTATTAATTCTCTCTTTTCTCTCTCTTCAATCATTTTTGGTCGACAGAAAAATATTTGTTTCGAAATGAACTTGCATAAGCAAAAGTGTCATTAAATTGGTTGTCAAGCGGCCTAAAAACCGTCTGTAATGAATTTTAATCCTTCACAAAAAGTACCTACTAGAAAGTTAAAACGTGAGGTATTTGGTTACAATTGAACTAACCGATGGAACCTTCGTTCATTTAATATCTGAATTCTCTCAAACAATTTGTTCGTAGTGAGAGGGGGAGCGAAGTCGCATTAAATCCCCTTGTGTCCCGTTGTAGTGTTTCATTCGAATTTAGTTTTTGTGGGGGAAAGACCAGATTTACACACGCCATTGCAGCAAACAAACGGGTAATCTCCCATAACTTCAAAATAAAAATTTTGAATTTACTTAAAATTGTTTTCCTCGCCGTTTACTTAATGATCAGAGGTAAATCTTCATACATACATTAAACGTCGACGAGAGTGAATACAACTTCCCGTAAGATCAATGAATTTTTTGAAGAAAAGTCAAAGTTGTTTTTTCAAAAGTGTACATGCACTTTTTTTCTTACGCGCCTTTTAATTGACAGGTGTCAGATTGTGACAGATACTTGTAAAAATAATGTTTCGAAGTTTGTTTGGAAGCCTTTTAAGTCACCTTTATCAGTACGCAAATGAAAATATTTCGGTGTAGCATTTCTCTTTAATTTGCATCACCTCTATTTTAACTACCATTTACTTGCTCAAAAATTGCTCAGTTTATGGAAGATCTTGCCGTATTTACTGCCCTAAATCATTCGCATTCTTTCGGATAGAATTTCGCCAAGTTAAAAAAAAAAATGTTATTCGCCAGACTAGGTCGGTCCATAATGGGAAAAACTGTGTCCGAGGTCTTGAGTGCCGCCCTCCGCCTACGGCCTCAGGCGGTACTCAAGACAGAGGGCACAGTTTTTCCCAGTACGGACCTCCCGTCTGGCGAATAACATGTAATTATTGCGTTAACATATAAGTCAAACGTTCCAAAGCAAAGTCATTTTACCTGGGGCTCACTTTGGTCACTCAGACTTCAGCTCACGACCCAAATTGTAAAACTAAGAATTTTTGTAAAATAGTTGTTAAAATGACTTTGCGTGTTTTTTCTTTGTGTGTGTGCGTGCGTGCGTGCGTGTGTGTGTGTAATGCTTAACACCCCTTGCGTCACACCTTTTCTTGTGCTAGAGTGACACTTGTGTGACTTTTTTTACTTACCGTGACACAAACACAAACGTACACATAATTTTAAGTCTGCTATTTTATTGGCCACGTGGATGAAATCTGGCATTCTAATTGGTTCCTTCCAAATTTGCTGCAATCGTATTCATAAGACCGTAAATTAGCGTGCTTTACTACTTACTCTCCCACATTTCGATTACAGTTTATAAAAGCATCTTTAATTTTTGTACATTTTAGGGGCATGTTATGAATAACAAAACAAATTTGGGTATGACGGGCCTTCAGATCGGCTTGCATGACAATAGGGCGTCAACATTAAGCTCTTAATTTGAATAAGATATAAGAAAGTAAAACAATGGAATAATATCGTACTTATCTCCTGTTTGTTTCTTTATCATAAGAAAGTATATCGCAATTTTTATATTTATAATAAGTGCTGTCTCATAAAACAAAGTTCAGTCTCAAGATTTGATGACATTTTGTTTTACTCTCTGTGGTTGTTTTGTTAAAAAAGAAAAAAAAAAAAAACCCAAAAAACATTAAAACATTAACAAAAGCTCGTGCAACGATATAACTAATTTTCATATATTTATGCCCATTTCCTTCTATTAACGTAACCGACAAGGGTTGTCTTATAGTAACCGTAACTTTACAGGTAAGCTTTAAAATAATTGGTTAAATATGACTTAAGGAAGATTGAACTACATGGTCTCCAAAGTGCTTGTCTGATCGTCTGCTTTACTGCCTGCCTTGATCTTCCAGCAGTAAAGTAACGGATTTAAAGTTGAGTTGAAGTAAAGTAACCTTACTGCTATTCCTCAGGTGACGAGTAAATGGGATGAAAATGTTCTTTTATAAGCCTCCCCAAACACAATCTCAACTGTAACATATGGTACATAACAAACTACTTATGCTAACTGCACTTACAATACACTGTCCGTTACCTTTCTGTATTGAGAAATGTTCCGTGAATATGGTCGACTCGCCTGCTGTTGTACAAGGTCAAGGTGAGTGTTATGATGATGGAGTGTATGGAAAATCTTTGTGTAGGAGGTGATCGACATTACCATAGAAGACGGAGCACCTATTTATCCAAACCAAAGGGTGATACGGTAATCATTGGCAGCTAAGCATATTATTTGGAAAAACTATCGATCTCCAAGAGAACTAAATAAGAACCAGTTAGTGCTCAATTTTGTTTCAAATACTCTTTCAAATACAATTTGTGTGTTTTAGTTAAAAGCGTCTTCTTGCTTGTGACCGGCTCGTGTGCCAAAAACGTCAAGAGCTCTATTTAAGTAACATTACAAATGTTGGAATTGTTTTATCATCTATAAACAAAAAACTTCATTGGCTCTCCTTTGATATTTAGTTTTATCCAATTCTTTCATATCACTAAGAAAGCAAACCAAGGGAAAAATATTGAACTAACGTCCTGTTTGTCTCTACATCGTACGTGCTTATATCACCAGTCGTTCTATTCACATTAAGCACTGTGGCATGTAACAAAGTTTCCTCGAGATATGGTTGCTGTTTGTTTACGACTGCCGTTTGATTTACTCGATTGGAAATAAAGAATTTCAACAAAAGCTCGAGCAACGATGTGGTCAACTTTCATATTCATTACTATCTTACAAAGCGACTAATAAAAAATAATGCCTCGATTGAGGCAGATGTAACTTCATGGACAGCAAAATGCTTCTCTGATTGTCTGCTTCACAGCTTGTCTCACTTCACTAATCTTCCAACAATAAAGAAACGGGTTTAACATCGAGTTGGAGTAAAGTAAAGTTGCTGCTATTCCCCTGGTCACAATCAAATGTGATGAAAATGTTTTTCTACTAGCCTCCACAATCACGATGTCAACTATAGTATATGGTACATAACAAACTACTAATGCTAACTGCACCCACAGTGCACTGTACACCACCTTTTTGTATCGCGAAATGTTCAGTAAATTTGGTTGACTCGACTGTAGTTGAACATCAACTTGTACTTGTGCCTGATAATGAATGAGGGTGCGAAATATCTTAGTGTACGAGAAGATTGAGATCACCAAATAAGATGGAACACAGATATAAGCAAACCATAAATTGATACGGTAATCTAAAATGTAGCATAAAGCAGCGACACCAGATAAAACCCAAATGGCAGCTAAAATAATATTTGTGCGCTTCAGAGTTACAGTTTGTTTGTATCTCAGCCCCAATAACAGCGCAAGAGGTCTGTCAATGCTTATGGCCGTTATTGTCCCCAAAGATACCCCACAAAATGCATAGATGGTTACGTAGGTGGCGTTCCTTGAGTATCGACAAAGATTCCAGTGTTCGTTAGGTATGGATATCCAATAAATAGCATGGAGAGGCTGGCTGACGAGACCAACCAACAGATCAGTTGTTGCCAGACAACGATACAAAAGTTTGGAGGGCGGATGGAGGCAACATTCTTTGCGAAGGGCAACAAGGATTAGAGAATTCCCAAGAATTGCGGTGAGAGAGAAGATCACATTTACCAATGCGAGATGAATTGATTGTTTTTGGAATCCACCCACCGAAGAGGGGGAACATAACAGTTCTTGATATGTTTCCATTTGTACTCCACCTCCTGTTGAATTATTTCTTGCCATCATTCTTCTGTCTTCCTTTTTCTTTAAGGTTACCTGTGATTGCAACGAGAGATAGTTCATTGTAACAGCAGCCGCCTAAAATTGATCATATAAAAGCATCTTAGGGAAATCGTTCTTTAAACTATGCAAAAACATCGGTGTTAAGTGAAAAAGTTTTCTTTTTAAACTTTCGTATGTGCCTCGGGTATAAATTGGCAAATTGAGAAAAGCATAAAACATCCGTAATCGGCACTTTTTCATAGTACGACAAATGCTCCCCTGTAACTTGGATAAACTTTCATTTAATGATTGGTAATTAAGCTTTAATATAACTTCTGTGAAGTTGAGAAGATTAATTATCAACTTTAGCAATCTAGAAAAGCAAATTCCTCGCCAAAGACTTCAAACGGTTTAGAAAATAATAATTACTCGTGCCAAGCTCCAAATACATTTAAGTATTCAAAATCAATGTTTGGTCACAGATACCAACATCTATATTGTGACAATAGTATTTTTTTCACACCAAGTGGACTTTTGCAGGAACGCAGAAATAACGGGGAAAAGTAGTTCGGTCACGGTTTCCTGGTTTACGGAGACCTGCTTCGAGCAAACTTGCTACGGACGTCAAGAATTAGACAACGTTTGGTTCCACAGTAGCTATATTTTACCTCTAGCGTACTAAACGTTATTAATGTTATCCCACGTAGTCGTCCATGTAATCCCAAAAAAGCTTTACAAGGTACTTCCTTAAGTACTATCGAGCGGGTAGTTCTGTTGTTCTCTAAATTTACAATATTTGAGTATTATCACAAACTGAGAAACGGAAAATGTCTCTTTAAAGTTATCGATACTAACTAAGAGAACGGAGATAGAACTCACAGCTCTAAAATTTGAAATGTATATCTTAACAAGAATTTTAAAATAAGATTTTAGTAATCGTCTTGATCCTATCTTACTTTCTGGTCAACAGTTAAGTAGTACTCTCTACCTCTTTCAAAAGTCGGCCAGGGGTCTGAGGATAAATACTCTTCTTTGCTACATCATGAAACTTAGGCATTACTATTACCGGAGGTGCTTCTTGATATCGATGAAATCCCTTGGTAAATTCCATTCTGTAATCAATTTTTGCTGGAGCATCAGATAGATCACCCTGGTGCCAAACCTCCTTTTGTGACACCTGTGGGAGGGACAGTAGTGGTTTTTGGATAACAGACCTGAAGTTACCATTTGCTTTGTTGTAAATTGTAGCAGACTGGGACTCAACAATGAGCACTAATATCAAGAAAGACTGGCTTAGTGCAACTTCTTTGTTCTTTGGAGAACGGGAATAAAAATTTTCTGCGAAAGACTTCAAAGAAGCTTCACCAGTAGGGGCGTTTCCAGCTGCTTTGAAATTCTTGTCTTGAGGTATAAACGTTCCTATCAAAGGCACTGAGGCAGAACTTGGTTCCTCCTGTTGATTTACTGATTTTTTTAAAGTAATGGTGTTGTTATCGAGGTTAATCATGGCTCTGTTCACTTAAAGGAAATCATGACCGAGGGTAACATCATAGGCAAGGTTGTGCACGACTTGGAATTCACGAGGGAACTGAATATCCTAAAGGTATAAAGGCAGGGTATATGTAATTCTTCTTAGGTGTAGGCTGTCTTTCCCAGTCTGAACTGCGAAAAAGGGAACATCACCATAGATTTTTTTCAGAAATTTTCCTTTAATAGCTGAAACGCGTGCAACAGTATCCACCATTACACAAACAGCTTTCCCTTTTATTTTACTTATAGTGGTTAGGTTGGTACGGTGCGTGTCTGCTTCATTTACTAGGGGTAGTAGGACACTTAACTGATTTGACATCTGTGACTTTCTTGGCTTTTAGTCACTAGTTTGTGTCGGCTTCATCTTTTGTAGTAATTTAGGGTTGGTTGTGGCGTTTTCCTGACTCTTGAATTATGATGCGGTCCCCTCAGCATCTGATTGGTTCTCTTCTTCGTGGGTGGAAGATCTTTCTGATTAACGGTTAGTTGGTTGGGTAACACGATGTAGGGCCTGTCTCTCCTTGTGGCAAACGTTATTAGATTGGTTATAGTTGCAGTAACACTGAATATGGCCACAAGTGACCCCGTGTCTTGCCCAGTCATCTGAGCGGTGATCGTAAGATCACGTTGCACTTCTGGTTCACATCCGGCGGAAGCATTATGTTGTGGCAGATAGGGGCCTGGGGAAGAGTCATCCTTCAACTCGTTCCCAAAGTTCATGGTTGAAATAGCGTCGGTTTCAATGGTTTTTTCAGCACGGCGAACAGCCTTAGTAAGCCGAATAAGTTTATTCGGCTTACTAAGAAAGACTGGCTTAGTGCAACTTCTTTGTTCTTTGGAAAGTGGAACACTTTCGATAACTTAATAACTGGCCAAGTCTGGGTCTGTTTAGTCACCAGGCTTCCATAGGTCATTCTCAAAGTGGTCAGCGGATGTGATTTCAAAGATCTCACCACTCGCATAAGCGTCCTCTACCATTTGTTGGAAAACTCTCCATTGTTGTTTTAGAGCTGACAGAAGCGCGTTTGTTGGATCGTTTTCCTGTAATTAATCGTATCTAGCTGTTTCTGGGTAGAATTGTAGCCCGTTTAGGCTAGGAACTGTTGATAGAATTCTTTATCGGCCCGGGTGTCGTTTTCACTGAGTTTCCAAGAATTCGTGTTTGCCTTTGGAAATGTATGTTGATTTTGTCCAAGCGGAGCCATTTCACTATTTTAATAATCTTGGCCATTTATCGCGGCTAAATGAGAGCTTCTTGGGTTTTGAGAAGGTACTTCATCCCTTCGTTGTGGCTGACTATAACCGGAGCGTTGAGGATAACTTCTGCTTTCTTGGTGTCGTTGATAGTTTGGCTGATACCACCCGAAATTCTGAATTGGTTAGCGTGGAGACTTCTGGTTAAAATTTTGTTGTACATGGCAAATTCTCCCACTCGAGTAAAAAATAGGTAGTCTTTCTCTTGTGCGCTGTCTTGACGGTTCTTCACGGTTATTTTGATTTCGCCTGGCCGTGCCATTTATTCGAGCGAATTACGGTTAGATCGCTCCATGGTTAGATCGCTCCAAGTCAGATCGCTCCATACCGAAGTCAGATCGCTCCACTCGAAAGTTAGTTCGCTCCATCAAATAAGTTACTTCGCTCCATACATAAGTTACTTCGCTCCATACATAAGTTACTTCGCTCCATACATAAGTTACTTCGCTCCATACATAAGTTACTTCGCTCCATACATAAGTTACTTCGCTCCATGAAGAAAACTAACGTGGAAGGTTGATAAAAGACAGAAGGATAAGGGAAAAGAAAAGAAAGAGTATTGTAACGCGACTAAAGTAAAGATGGCGGATACACACGGGCCAGTATTTTATTCGAATGATCTTTTTAACACATTTAGACCATAACTTTATCATTTATTACACACTGAAACACTTATTTCATCATTTATTACGCACTGAAACACTTATTTCATCATTGGTAATTCGCTTTGGTGGGTTCAAGTGAACGAATCGTCGATCACTTTATATTTCAGTAACTTGATCGCAAGCAACATCATCAACTATAAACTACAAAGATCAGAAGTAAGTTAGTTTATTAGTTTTCTACGTTCATTACACACTGAAACACTTGTTCCAACATCGGTAATTCGCTTTGGTGGCCTCAAGTTAGCGAATACGTCGATCAGCAACTCGATCGCAAGACGCAATACACATCATCAACTATAAACTATAAAGATTAGAAGTAAGTTAGTGTATTAGGTTTCCACATGGAGCGAAGTAACTTATGTATGGAGCGAAGTAACTTATTTGATGGAGCGAACTAACTTTCGAGTGGAGCGATCTGACTTTGGTATGGAGCGATCTGACTTGGAGCGATCTAACCATGGAGCGATCTAACCGGATACCATTCGAGCATCCCATGTCTTCAATTTTATGTTAATTATTCGGTGTCCATCGTCTGCCTTACTCCGAATAAGCTGAGAGGGGTGCAACGGGCTGCTTTAGCGAGTCTTTGATAGAACCATGGGCCTATTCAAAATTTCATCCAACTTGGAGGAAAGAGTCAGTTCTCTCTGATCACCATGCCTCTTTACAATGTTTGTTAACAGGGCTTCGAGTCTTCCCTCCGGGATAGAATTTTTCTGGAATAACTGTTCAATTACGGCTACAAGTGCCTTGTCTGAAGCGAGAGAATCCTCGTTAGACTGGTTTTGGATGGTGATCTCGATAATCGTTCTTGCGGGACAATTCGGGATATGTCGTCTCCGCTTCGCTGAGATAAAGATTGCTGGATTGTGTTAATCAACCGCGCTGTGTCCTCTACGGCAGCATATTTTCTGGTTCTTTCTTCAGTATCCATGACTTGTCTTCGAAAATCACTCATTACGTCAGAGCTTATTTGCATATCGTGTCTAGTGATTATTTTTTCGTCGCTCAAAGTGTTGCTATGCTCGAACTTGCTATCAGCTCGTTGTTCGAATACACTTTTGTTCGCAACGGCGTTGTCGGGACAAAATTCTTTACTAACTTCTCATGCTGCCCCGCTTAGTTTTTCCTCAGAGTCGCTACCCAAACTTGACTCGATGTAAAATCGTTTTTTGTGTTTCTACATTTGTTTCGGTTTTGTGTTCTTTCTTGATTTCGCACCAATTCGTGAAGATCTGTTGGTGAATTAATTAATTGATTTTCTTTCTCCTGTGATCTTAGATTCTCGGAACCACGGATTTCTTCAACCTCTGGGGCGACGAAGAGGTTCGCTGCACAACTTAACGGTTTGGACAGACTTTCGTTTTTATCGATGCTGATATCTGTGGCCTTTGTATTCGTTTTATCTGCTTGACTCGGACTGGAAAATGCGGTGGAAACTCGTGGTGGGTCTTTGGAAGGAATTGGTTCAATGTTTTTACTGGAATCGGTGTCGTGTATCGTCGGCGGCGAGGAACTTTGATAAAATGGCTCAAA